AACTGGCATTTATGGGGTGTAGCTTAATAGTGTATTTATGTTATAATAAAGTACTGGCAAGCCTTTGTTGGCCTAATGAACATATTATTATGCCAGATTGCGTCTGAGGAAACTGTTAATCTTGATTCAAAGGATCTAGGGTCATAGATGAGAAACAGACACATGTCAGAGCAAAGAACTCTACGTCAGGCCTCAAGCATTTCTTGATCTCCTCCATATGCTTGTGAGATCAGGGACAAAACACTTTCACTTTCATACTAATGTGCATTGATGTCTTTTAACTTCCTGTTCACCCGTGGAAGCAGGAAAGCGACGTGTACATGTACGCTGCTAACAGTGTCGTCCTTTACACACATGACTGATTGTGCAATCTGACTGCTTCCTCACAAAACACCCTCAAATGATTCCTATCTGACCTAGAACAAGAGATACTGGGAAACTAATCTTCACATCTCCGCAATAAAAGATCAGAAATAGCTCATTTTCAAGGTTCAGTGTGCAGGCTAGATCAGAGGAAACGGGCTGCTGACTCTCGTGTTTTGGTAACAGTGCGGACAGTAGATCCTGTAAATATTTAGCCTACTGTTACCAGCAGTGATCTGAACCACAGCCAGGAATATTCCATCTTTATTTCAAGCACTAGAGCGCCGGGGGACGCACATTCCATCACAGGACCTTCAAAACCTGCCTTTGTTCTCCATAAGAAAGTGCATGTGAAGGAATTCCCCCTAAACTCTGCAGTAGCGTGCTCTCATATTACATGTTAACCGTGTCAATCCCAGCATGGCCAGGATTTCTAATCTGTCACACTATCATAAAGAACAGTATGAAAAACTGATATTTCATTTGATTAGGTCAGCATTATATGACTTGAAAGGTAGGCCTAATCTAAATGAAAACCTAGGGGAAATGAGCATAAACAATTCTAGTCTTATGTGAGCAGAATTCATTAGGAAAATATGCTATTTGCTCTCAATACCACTGGAACAATAACTTGCATTGCTGTTATTGTTAACTGAGACTACTAAAAGCATTCTCATTAATTGAAATAAAATAAATAGTAACTCAAATATAAATATTAGATGAAAATACTGACTGACATAAAGCTAACATACTAAAATTACTCAAACTTAAATAAATATTCTATTTAAGCTAAACAGAAATACTGAAAAACAAAAACTAATAAAAATGACACAAGTGCATAACAAAATTACTCAAATTAATATGAAAACATGATATACTGTATATAAAGCTAATTCAAAATGCATACTATAATATAAATACATGGGTCAAATACGAAAAAGGGTTTAGGCATAAAAACAAGAAGTGTAATACTGCTTTAAATTGTTGTTGTTTTCCCCAAAAAAATTTAAAAGTTTTTTGTTTAATTTAATTGCATTGCATTGTTTTAGTTTTTCTGAGCAAAAAATAAATATCATACATTTTCCCCTGATTTACAGAAGACACAAATGTCATTCAGTGTAACAATCTTGTCAGGCATATTACATCATCCACATTTCGTTTAATTAGATTTCCTACCGTATTGGAGAGAAATTAAGAGGTACGTTGATCTGCCAGTCGCGGGTCTATCATGCCGAGAACTCTGCTCATGTGTTTGCATGATGCATTTAAAAGTTAATGACCAAAAGTATCATTATTAAAGTTCACAGTGTTGAATATGAGAAAGGTATTGTAATAATGTAAATTATGTAAAAAATTATGCGTTTTTCGAACCACCAAGCATTAGAGCATGTTCTAGTACACCCCCAAAACAAATTCAAGACATTGTAAAAGAGCATAATAGGACCCCTTTAAGGTCTTTGACCCACATACAATAGAATAAATACTATAATATTGTATAAATACTAAAATATAACTGCTACCTACTACTACTACTATTGGCAACAGTGGCGGCTCGTCGGGGGAGGCACAGCTTACCCATAATTTTGAGGTGAAAATGGGAGGAGGCCAATTTAATGTTAATAAAATTCACATTTGATTTCAGTTCATGTCTCAGAATGTGTATTTTTTGTTTTGAATTTTTACATAAATATTGTGTTACACTGAATGACAATGTAACATTATTTCAACCAAATTTTGACATTTTATTTTCCAAAAACTTATTTGAAACCTTAAAAGTAGACACTTTACTTACATTTAATGGGCTTTCTATGGACATAAAATCACTTGTACATTTCTTTTGATGCGGACATCTTAAAGGGGTCCTATTATGCTTTTTCACTTTTTGAATTTTAGTCAGTGTGTAGTGTGTTTCATTTTTAAAAAATCCCTTTTCAAGAACTACAACGAACGGCTCGTTTGGACTACAGCGTTTGTTTTCCGGGTTTTGTGATATCACAAACGACCCATTAGAATATCATTAAAATAATTCCCACCTACGGACATTCGAATGGTTGGGGGGTGGGGAGGGGCGAGGTCTGGGTTAGAACGCTTGGTTGAGTGCATCAGACAAGACGACGACAAAGAA